GACTGGCATCTGACATCAAATGCTCTTGTATCTAAATCCTGTATCTTAATTCAGCATAAAAATACAAAATTTTCCATATCATGGGAATAATGGAGGAAAATCGTTAAATAAAATATATCATTTCTAAAAAGAATGTCCCACAAATAGATGGCACAGAACTGAGAGAGAAACAGTGCTCCCTGTGACAGAACTGCAGTAGGGACTGTATAGAGTTCCCCAACTTCGCACACTATCCCTCTCTGCACTCAATTTTTTACAAGACTTGCTAAAATTGACCCCATTCTGCTTTCAAGCATGCCTCACAGCATATAAACAAGTTCTGTGACATGCTAAAGTTCTGACACAAATACTTGCCATGGTCTTGTATGAGGAACACACTACACCACTGTCTTTACATTGTATAACAACCCTTGGTAACCGGCACGAGGATTTCATTCATGTATTTTGAACAACTTCACAATTTGACAATGACTTTGTTATCAAACTTAATGATCTCAATACCACGGACAAAAAGCTCTTCTTGGTGCAGGTTTGTTTTTTTAATTTTGTAGTCTGAGGTTTGTTACTTGGGGCATAAGCCTATACAGTGAGTTTTCATAGTTGGAGCCTCCAATAAAATGGAAAGTGCACTTAGGTAATTTATTTTAGATATTGCATGTAATTTATAGTTTAGCTTTTGTTGCCTTATTATACTCATCCACTGTTTTATCATATTTAAAGGATTTATTATGTTATTTTTCTATGGTTTTTTATATTATTAGTCATTTGATGTGATGTTTAATCTCATATATTTTTTTATAAAACTGACTTGTCCAATTGTACATAATGTAACAGTTATGGATGTTAAATAAATAAATAAATCAATCAATCAATCAATCAATCAATCAATCAATCAAACATGTAGGTTTGTTCATAATTGCCACAACACTGAGTTCCTAGTCATGCACAGTGAAGCTTGTCGGCAAGTGAGTTGAGACAAAAATAAACAATCCAAGAGGAATATGTTTACTGAAGAAAAAGTTTAAGATATCTAGACATGATAAGAGACTTGCAATCACAGACTTCTGGGAAACTAGTCCCAATAAACCCTGCACTCACAGTCACAAGACAATATGCAAAATTTATGAACAAGGAGCCAATGATATCCTCATGTCATTCAACACATGCCACTACATGTTGGAAATTTAATGGCATTGTGGGCTGTAAATGTGTGGTAAATCACTTATTTCAGACTGTGTTGCAAAACTTGTTCACATGCTGTGAGACATGCCTGAAGGCAGATGTCAATGCTGGCAGTTGTTATACAATATGGGAAGTCTATGTCTATTCTTACAGTAATTATTAGTGAAGTTCTGCTTATAGAGAATGTAATGTAAGAAAATTTAATGTTCATGCTTAACATGCCACCATACTTCCAAAACAGATATATGCAGTATGAAAATTACATATTACTATATTTCTAAACATGAAAATGCTAAAAGCAGTAACTACATATGGCAAGTACCGTTTATTGCACAAGCCTGCTGCCTTTCAAAGTTTATTATATAAATTCATATTTTGCTACCCCAATCTATTTCGTATGTTCGAAACCTAACTTTCACGATGAAACCGAGACTATGTAGCCCATAGTTTTTCTTTTCAAAGAGTTAAAGTAAAGTAAAGGTATCCCTGTAACAGACCGTAGAGGCCCATAGTGTTGTGAGATGTTGAGCTAATAAAATTCAGGCACCCTGATGAGTCACAGTTCATAAGCACTTGGAACTAATAAATCTGTGGCAGATAAAACACTTATGTAGGGTTCAGAAACTTAACACATGTCATGTACATTCTTTAAATCCACAAAAATTGTATAAAATATATTAATTCTTCGCAAAAAAAAACAAAAAAAAAAACACACTCCTACCTCCACAAACCGAACAATCCACCATCTGTCACAATCCGTCGTTGGTCGTTGCTCCAGTAGTATGATGCACACTGCCATTTAAATCATTAGCATATTAACTATAACTTTAAAAATATAATACTTAATTCACCGTACACAAAGCAGGCATTACATAACACAAGAACTCTACATACATACTACTTCTTGTCCATGTTAATTTATCAATTTTCCTGGATCCCCATTATTATGTTTATTGCAATGTCTGGTCTGAAACCTTCCTGTATCACGACGAGACTTCAGATTTCTCTTGATCGAATTGCTGTTCTACATCACAAAAGCAACATCTTCGTCATGTAATTGGCAGTCGGGCAAAGTAGACAAAACATCAAACCTGTTGCTAGTAGGTATTGTGTATGTACACGTTTTACTTTATTGTTCCCTCCAATACTTCCATATCCTTCACTTTCACGCTCTTTACGTTTAGACATACACCAACTGTATTTTGAGATTTGTCCACCTTTGATCTGATCTCTACACCTGACATAACCTCAAGTTTAATAGTCATTTCAAGCTCTTTAGCCAGCGCCTACACGATCGCACAAAATACGTCCGTTGTAACGAACGTACTTTGCTGAGGACACCACACAGTTGCAAAATGCAGTACGTAATTTATTGTCTGCAATGGAGCCAGAAGACTGCGTAGCATTCGCCTGTCTTGTTTATTTCTACAACGGACGCATTTTAGCGCTCGTGTAGACGCTGCCTTAACGTTTGGACCACACGAGCGCACAAAACGCGTCCGTTGTAGCGATCGTCGTGACGTCCGTTGTAGAAATAAACAAGAGAGGCGAATGCTACGTTTTCTAATTTTCATTTCAAGCATCCTGCTGTGTTACAATATATACAATATATATACGCTTTCTTCTGGCTCCATTGCAGACGAAAAACTACGTACTGCCATTCTGTAACTGTGTAGTGTACTCAGCAACGGACGTACTTCGTGTGCGCTCGTGTGACCCCAGCCTAAACAGGACTTTATTCATTACTTGTAGTGAGTACTTCAGTAAGTGCGCAATGTAAGTTATTATACTGTATTCTATTCTATTATTATATGTTATTTGCGAAATCTGAGCAGGATGGGGAGGAGGAGGGAGAGGTTTCGTTTATTGCAGCCCATTAACGTACAGACAAGTTCTGGATTCATAATTAATTTATTTATTTAACAACAAATAACTGCCAAGCTATACAGTTTACATAGTGTGGGATGGACGATGTTCCAATAGACAACTACTCCAAGAAAAGTTTGAGGGCCCTTAAAAGGGCCGTTTGTTTTATATTGCGGGCCCTGGATGACTTCAGAATATTAATTTTCTTCTACAGTTAAGTCTTTTTGGCCTGTTTCGAAATGTGATTTTTTTTTTTTAATTTTCCGCCATTCCTCCGTTATCTGCAGCTTTTCAATTTTTCTCAATAAATCGGCCTCGTCATTAGTTAGTTCTCCTTGCTCCTCTTTCGGCGTTGCAACTACTTGGTTAACCTCCGCCATCCTGGACAGCTGGACGAGCTGGACAGTGAGGGAGAGGCCTGGAGGTTCTCGACTTATATAGACTCTGGACCGCTCTGGACACCAGGGGGTGGAAACTCAATGCTATTGGCGGGCAACATATCCGCCGTGAAGTCATGAAGCATCACTGCTGCCGCGGTGGCCGGCGGACACTCTCTTGATATAAAATGGCTGCCGCCAGTGCCGAGAGCTTGGTCGGTAAGAAGGTATGCTATCATACCACCTGCCCTGTCGGTAAGAAAGTATGCTATCATACCACCAGCATTTTTTACTGCTCCCTCCAAAAAAATCACTAGTTCACACGTATAGCTAGAAATAATAATTGATGTAAATGAAATGTTCATATTTTACAGGCACTGGTGGGAAACGTTCTCCCAATAAATAATGTTGCAACCTGACATCTTATACTGCAGAGGTTCTTACTCCGTTGTGTGTTTTCTGTTTTCGAACTGAGTATAACATCACTTCCCTCAAAACCATCTGGAGGGGAATGAGTTAAATGATATCAAACTCAGTTTGAAAACAGAAAACAGGCAACAGAGTAAGAACCTCTGCAGTACAAGGTATCAGGTTGCAACATTATTTATCAGGAGAAATTTTCTCACCAGTGCCTGTAAAATAAGAACATTTCATTTACATCAATTCAACACCCCCTTACTGAAATGCAATGGATATTTGAACTATAACATATATAGAATACTTGTGCTTAGGAAAGCTGATGGTGGGTAAACTTGAAAGAAAATTCTGTTTCCAT